ACAACATGAATAAGGAAATAATTGAGAAATCGTGTCTATGAAATAATGTTATTTGTAATCATTTCAAAAAAGCTAATTCATATGGATGTCTAAAACAGGGGGTACATGGAATATCTTTGAACAAATATTATAAACTTTTCTACATATATCATTGGTTAATATATAAAAATAAACAAATTAAACTATTGTGGTTTAGTAAGAAGGTCAGTTAAACAAAAGCATTGATCTCATGTTCCGAGGCATCATATACAAGAATGCCAACAATGCTTGTATATGGCGAATTTGAAGTTCTTAAATAGAAAATTAAAAACAGACAGCCTAAGACTGGGCCAGATTAAGACCCCAGTGGGCCGGGTAAAGGAACGGTAGGTGAGGTAAAGTGCAAAAAAACAGTGCAGGCAAGTCACTCTATAGAGAGATCACTCCCCAATCCCACAAATGTAATAAGAAACCAAAAGTATATAAATATACAGGTGAAGGCTCCACTATCACAAGTGTGGGTATTTTACCACTCTGTCGGCAAGAATGACATGTGGAAAAAAACATAATTAGAAGAATACATAGTGAAGTAGTTAATGGTTAAAATGACGATTATGAATAACAATAAAATAAAACTCACGAGAAATGGCACAAAAATAATTATTTCTATATGTGCAAGAAAGCTTTTAAGCCTCATGGTGGGCTTACTCTCCAATCTGTGGAACTCTCCATTGGTACCTCTTAAAATCAGTCCAGATGTAGGTAGCAGTAAAAGAAGTATTAATCCGGCTCATGGGTGTCGGCTTCCTTCCTTGGGGTAATATGCAAAGCATATAACAAAGCAGCAGCCATATTACCCCAAGGAAGTAAGTCGATACCCATAAGCCGGATTAATACTTATTTTACCCCTACATACATCTGGACTGATTTTAAGAGGTACCAACGGCGAGTTTCACAGATTGGGGAGTAACCCCCCTTGAGGCTTAAAAGCTTTCTTGCACAAATAGAAATAGTTCTTTTTGTGCGACTTCTCTTGTGAGTTCTATTTTATTGTTATTCATAATCGTCATTTTAACCATTAAATACTTCACTATGTATTCTATTTGGGGTTTTTTCCCATATGTTATCCTTGCCGACCCAGTGGCCTTGGTGCTGAAAACTATTCTATGATGGGCCTAATTACAAAATCCTATCAACTAAAACAGTCCTACCTCCCAAGCATCATATATCTGATGGAGATGGTGCTGGAGCGAAACTCATAGGATGCAGCTATTAGAAAAAACATACCCTATGCTATTCTCACAATTTCATCTTTCAAATAAATCCATATCCCCTAGCAGCAGTGTCCAGTGAAACAGAGCAAGTCTATGGACGGGGTGAAAGGATGGGCCACTGATGCGAATCATGTAACCAGAACTGCCCAAAGGGACAAACATACCCAAAAGGGGGGCATGTCTGCCCAAAGAATTTGAAGGACAGCCTGCCATAAATGCATGTCAGGCTGCTTGCCAGTCATGCAGGATGGCCAATTAAGGGCATACTATGCAGACAACACCCTGAGCTCCACTCTTTCTATGGACTGTCCTCTAGCAGTCACATGTACACCTGTTTCCTTACCTTCTTACTAGCAGGCAGAAGATCCTGGTATGTAATCTGGGACAGAGAAAAGGTGTATGTAGTGAGTGTAGAAGAAGGGGAACATGCCACAATGTTAGACACACCAAATTCAACATTACCTAAACTAATTTCATTGTCAGCCAGTCCACACAAGTTTTGTTCATCTACATCCCCGTCTCTGTGTCCCCTAGTGTATGTGTCACTAGGACACTAGGGGGCACTGGGGACACTGGAAGACATGGGAACACTGGGTGACTTTGAGACACAAGGGGACACTGGGAGACATGGGGCACTAAGACACTGTGATACATCGGGGACACTGGAGATTTGATAAAGACCTGGATACAGGTTGAAATGTTGCAGGCTCCAATAAACCTGCTTAACTCTATCACAGTGTGTGCCTAAGATTCTTTCTTTTATATTAGGGACACTGAGACACTTGGGAGCAGTGGGAGGCTAGGGAACACTGAGACACTACGGACACTGGGAGACATAGGGGACACTGGAGACTTGATAAAGACCTGGGTGCAGGGCAAAACGTTGCGGTGCCCAATAAACCTGAATAAATCTATCACAGTGAGTGCCTGAGACTAGGAGACACTTGGAGACATGGGGACACTGGGAGACTAGGAAACACTGAGACACACCAGGGACACTGGGAGACATGGGGAAACAGAGACACAATGGACACTGGCTGGGAGACTGGGGACACTGGGAGGCATTGGGTCACTGCGACACTAGGGCCACTGGCTGGGAGACATGGGGCCACTGTGTCCCTAGTGTGTCAGGGTCCCCATTTCCCTCAGTGTCTCCTAATGTCTCCATGTCAAATGAGTGAAAGAGGCAGGGAGGGAAATGCTGTAACATCCTATCCCTGCCTCTCTCCACCCACACAGTGACCCCTATTGGCCGGTGCTGGTATTGCTGAATAATCTCTGTTTATACGGAGACTGACATTTGTATTGCCGGTATTACTTCTATACCGGCACCGGCTCGGCTGCCTCCAATTCTGGAGCAATACTGGCCAGGTGGCAAACCTGAAAGTAGTGTGCAGCTCCATCAGCCCCTATGTTAATCCAGCCCTGCCTAAGAATGTACATACATTCTTAAAAAGCTTGGGGGTGAAAAGGTCATTGAAACTAGAAATGGAGATAAGAAAAAAAGACGACCTTTCAAAACACTTTTACTTAAGCACATAGCAGAGAAACTATATGATATGCAAATCACTACAAAAACCTTAGAGCAAATATGACCGTGAGACATAAGACAAAGCACTGCAGTTAAAATTAAGGTCCCAGGTCCAGATGGTATTCACCCAAGAGCTAAGTGTAGTAATTTCCAAAACACTGTTTTTAATCTCTCTGTAGTTGTACCAAAGGATTGAAAAGCAGATACAGTGCCCATATTTTCATAAGGTATCAACATTTCTGCCCAGAAATTACAATAATTTATACAGGGCCAACATATTCTGCAGCTCTGTACAATAATGAAAACAAAGCAAACAATTCTAACAAAACATGTTAGATATACAGGGACAGTAGATGAAGAGGGTCCTTCCCAAACAAGGTTATAATCGAAAAAGACTAACAAAACTTTTGAGTTTAAACTCTCAGGGCACAAAAAAAGAATAAAAACAAAATATCTCTGTGTTGTGCCTAATCATTAAATTCATGAAGTGCCAATATCAAAAAGCAATAATCAATTACCCTAAGGTTTTTAAAGATATTGGTGGGCACCAAAACCCTATTCGGGATGAGTGAATTGAGTATTTGAGAAAGGCAAAGACACTGACACCAAGTACTTGTAAATAATCAATACAAACTTTATTGATTAACAGAAACTTAATTAATAAGTAATAACATTTAATCTATAGTGCACATTCAGCTTAAAGGAACAGCTCAATTATCTAGATATCAGCTTAAGTATACATCACCATAAGAGAAGCTTGCTGCACTCGACTGAGAGAACTTCTGGCAGTCAGGCTTGAAGAGGACCCTCTCTTACTGGGAATCAGCAGAACCAGCAATACGCATCCGTATTACAGGTGGGCAGTACTCCAATGAGTGCCAAGTTTTCTTGTCTTTTATAAGTTTACCAATGGGATGGAAATTCTGTATTTTTCCATCAAGTATCCTTATCAGTGCAGCCCAGCAAAGACCCTGCAAAAGCATTGGATGGGACTGGCAGTTGGCCAGGCTGGTCCGGACCATCAACACTGCCATGCCAGGTATGTGCGGTTAATTATCTCTTATCTAAAAAGCTAGCTCTGTTCTCATAATATTCTCGTGATGGTATGCATGAGTCATTCTGGTGCGGTGTGTTGTGGTTATTAACATTTTCAGTGCTGTGTACCGGCGCCATCTTAACTATCTATAAAAGTTTGATTTGCTCAATAGTGATCAATCAATCATTCTTTAAATGATATGGAATATTATCACATTCCATCCCTTGATCACTCAGTGAGCAAAACCTCACACATTTACGCATACCATTCAGGTTATCAGCAGGGGGAAAAACCCATTTACCCACTGATTCCCGCATTGCTCCATTCACACCTGGAACCAATTCAAGCAATAAAGCTCTCTGAGTCGAGGGTCACCTAAATTAGCCAATTTTAAACCGGATAAACCTGTAGCTTAAACCTTAGGACATACCTCTTCCCGCTTAACAATCCTAATTAAACTCTTCTAGCTCTATACTAGTATTTCTTTTTTAATCTAGCAATTCTTTGAATGCAGCAAATTGTAATTTTGTAGCACAGATATATACAAAGTATAATAAAAACAAACCACGCAATTCTGTTTATTATTTTAAAGGTGTCAGGGGTGCTGTTAGTGCGGCAGTAGGTTGCACCACTACCCTCTATAATAGTGTATGCTTGCTTTTTGCTCTGTTGGTTTGCATAACTTACCCAATATTGGGTAAGTTCTTCTGAAGAAATATTAGAGTTTACATGTGTATATGGTATGCGGCAGCCAAAGGGCGTTGTAGATTCTAATGTTTAAAAATCAAATGATTCATTTGGTAACTTAATATAGGTCATTCTCTCACTTTCATTGTGGCTGAAATATCCTTCTCTATACAGGCTCCCCCTCATGTTTGGACTGTTAACAGTCAGGCAGGTTACTCTTATTTCAATCTTTTTTCATTTCATCTCTGTGGAATCACTCGGGTCCCAACCTTCAATACAACCAAACGGTGTTGAGTATGCACAGCCATCCCAATAACAGCCAGGCCAATGAGCTTTGCCTGTAAAGCTCCAACTAATTTTACTCTCTCAAATAACATTTGCCCAAAGGTACATATTCCCATTTATCATGATCTGACTTGGTGAGTATCACGGTATTGTCATTGCCTGTTGCAATAATGTCTGCTGGTTCTGGGGCACCTTTTTCTGTCCTCACCCAGACTTTGGCCCCTGGATTTAGGTTAGTAGAGCTAAATCCCTTATCTCCTCTTACTGTTTGTGAGATGGGGGCTGTTCCTTTGTGTACCTGTCCCTGGTAAATGGGTGTTGTGGTACCTGATTTAACAAGAGGACCTTTATTTCTCCTTGGTAATCAGCGTCTATGACCCCTCCCATTACATGTATCCCTTTAAGGGCCCGGCTAGACCTGGGTGCAATTAGTCCAAAGTGTCCCGGGGGTATCTGTATTCCTATACCTGTGGGGAACATCTGAACTTGCCCTGTTTGAAGTCTTTCTTCCTTTCTGGCTTGCAAGTCTATTCCTGCAGCCTCTGAGGTAGCCCTGTATGGTGCCATGGCTCCCTCCTCTGTTTCCCAATATGTGATGGTGTTAGTTGCTACATATGGTTTAGCTTGTATATTGGGTGCAACCATTCTAGTGAGGGGGGGTGTCATGATCTGAGAGTGGTCTCTTGTTTAAGATGTTCACAGCTGTAGGCAAGTTATCTTTCCATTTGTGCATTGTCCCTTCACCAAGTTTTCTCAATTGTTGTTTCAACAACCCATTCATCCTTTCAATCAGACCAGCTGCTTGAGGATAATAAGGTATGTGAAATATCCATTCAACATTGTTTTCATCACAAAAGTCTTGTACCAATTTTCCTTTAAAGTGACTTCCATTGTCACTCTGAATCTGTAATGGAAGACCATAGTACTGTATCACGGTTTCCAACATTTTAATAGTATTTATTTGGGTAGCCCTCTTGCAAGGGTGAACCAATAAATACCCAGAATATGTATCTACAGCTGTGCATACATATTGACAATTTTTACTCATAGGAAGTGGACCTATGTAATCTACCTGCCATATTTGCCCTGGTGCTTTTCCTCCTTTTATTTGACCTCGTACCATAGCTGGCACATGTCTATTCTGCTCAAGCTGACACACTGGACATTGCAGAATTACTGTTTTAATTAAATCAAGCGGCACTAAAATGCCTCGCTGTTGTGCCCACCTGTGAGTGGCTTTCTCTCCCAAGTGTCCACATTTCTGATGGACCCAATTAGTCAATCCCAAAAGTGAGTTAGAATCTTCAACGGATGCCTCTGAGGTCCTGGCTTTCTCGTCTGCAACAGAGTTAAACAGACGATCCAATGAGTCAGTATTGCAGTGAGCATCAACATGAAAGACCGTTACCTCATTTTGATGTACCATCTCCCATTTCTGCTAACACAAATCTTTTCCTCAGACTTCCTTTGTATGAATCATGAACTGATGTGACTGCCACGTAGGCAACCATGCAGCCAGTCCATTGGCAACAGACCAGGAATCTGTGTACATATGACAACTTCCAGGCATCTCTTTTTTCAGAGCCTGCAAACACTGCAAATAATTCTGCATTTTGGCTACTTTTCCCCGTTCCTGTCGTAGTCAGTATTTTCTTGGTTTCTGGATTGTAAGACACTGCTTTCCATTGTCTTTCATTACCAATGTATTTTGATGAACCATCAGTAAACCAAGCATGCTTTGCTTGATCTTGTGTTAGTTGCGCAAAACACTTTCCCCTTTTTACTGGAGATTGCCCTGGCTTGTCTGCTTCTGGCAAATAACCAGGTTCTTGTATCGGCGCATCTGCAATTTTCTCATGTAGTACAGCCGTACCACTATTTCCTGTTTTAGCTCTATCCTGTATGCACTACTTCCATTTTATGATCGTGGATTCCTGTGCATGACCTATCCAATGTGTCTTAGGGAAACTAAGTACCCATTGCATGATAGGTATCTCTGGGCGTAAGAACACTGTGTGTCCTACCGTTATCTGTTCAGTATCCACCAAGGCCCAATAACAGGCCAAGAGCTGTCTCTCAAAGGGTGTGTACCTCTCTCCTGCCTCTGGTAACTTCCTTGTCCAGAACCCAAGGGGAACCTTAGTCCTTCCATGTTTCTGCCAAAGGCTCCAATTAGCCCATTGCTGATTTACTGATACATTTAAGTCTATGTCTCCATTTTATATGGGCCACAGATCAAGGGGTTGTTAGATAGCCTGTTTAGCTCCCTCAAATGCATTCTGTTGCTCTTCTCCCCAATCAAAATCATGTTTTTTTCCTGGTTACTTTGTGCAAAGGGGAGAGTAGCTGACTCAGGTGTGGTATGTGTTATCTCCAAAAACCAAAGAGACCTATAAAGCTTTGAGCTTGTTTCTTGCTTTTGGGAGTTTGAAACTCTAGCACTTTTTGCTTAGCTTTTGAAGGATTTCTCTGTGTCCTTTGTTCCACTGTATTCCCAAGAATTTCACTGTCTGAGCGGGTTCCTGTATTTTACTGGGATTTATCTCCCACCCTTTACTTTTCATATGCTTGATAATCTCTTCAAGAATCTGCTGACACTGTTCTTCACTCTTTCCCTTAAACATAATGTCATCTATATAATGGGATATTTTCACCTCTGACGGTATTTTTACCCCATCAAGATGTTCTGCCACCAGCCGATGACAGATGGTGGGACTATGCAAGTATCCCTGTGGCAACCTTGTGAATTTATATTGCCTCCCTAACCATGTGAAAGCAAACTGCTCTTGAGTTTCTTCAGCTAGAAGAAGGCATTAGCCAAATCTATGACTGCATACCAGATCCCTGGATGCTTCTGTATATTTTCAATAAGAGTGATTGTGTCTGGGACAGCAGTTGTCAGTGGAGGTGTGTGTTTGTTCAATTCTTTGTAGTCTACTGTCATTCTCCATGTATGGTCTGTCTTACGTATTGGCCACACAGGGTTGTTCCTGTGGTGACATTCTGTCATCAAACTAATATGGTGACCAGGGGTCATGTGACCCAGCTCATGTTTGCTTTTCTTACAGTGGGATAAGCTTTACCCTTTTGAAATGTTAATTGGTTACAAGTCAGGAAAGAGATAACCACTTCCCCTTTTTCTCCATTCCTCTCTGTTCCTTCTTGGCTGTGCTACTGAGCAGTCCCTTAAGCAGACATGGCCTAATTTCTATCATGGTGAACTGTGAGTGGGATCTGGTGATTTTATAAGATGTAGTTGTTATTGTTAGTTAGGTTGTTGTTGCTGTTGTTGTTGGTATAGTTAGTTAGATTGTGTGTCATTATTTGTATGTTGTTGTTGTTTTGTCTCTGAATAAATATTTGTTAAAGTAGACGGACCAGAGTTTATATGTGTATGCGTACATAATAATTTATAGAGTTTGGTAATACACCACAGTTCCAAGCAGTAGTGACCCCTCATAGGACCCCAGTTTTTAGTAAATCATCTATTGTTTCTCCAATTTCTTTGTGGCCTCCTGGGATCCTGTACTGCTTCATATGTACTACTTTAGTAGCTGGTGGTAGTTGCACAGGGGGCATTAACAATTTTCCTACCACCACTGGTCTGGCTGATATTTAGGGTTTAGTTCCAAAACTGTAACAGCCATCCCCCAAATGTAAGGTCAATCCTTTAAGAATATCAATTCCAATTATGTATTCAGGTATGGGGGACAATTAAAACCGAATACTTCTTTTTTGGCAACTGTCCAATTTTCAGTTCTATCCAGGTCTGGACTGCTTCTGTTCTCTTACCTCCCCGACCTGTAATTACATAGGGTAATTCAACAAATTTCTTAGGGTTTCCATAAATTAAAGTGGCCTCTGCTCCAGTGTCTACAAGGGCAGTAACCTTTTCCACATTTGTATACTCTCAGTGTATTTCAACTCTTACATTGGGTATATGATCTTTTACTGAAAAGTCAATCACTGGAGCCTGCCTCACCAGTCAATCCCTAAATTCTATGTCTGTCAAATCCAGGTCTCCCAGGTTAGGCAATTCTTTGTGTTCGAATCCCTCTAAATTGGGGTACAATTAACTCACTTTCCTTTCCCCGCTTGCCTCCATCCTTTCCAACAAGTATTGCACATGCGTGCTAATTTCACCAAGCTTTTTAAAGTTATTTTCCAATTCCACCCAAAATTTCCTTGGAAAGCTAACTACCTCTCCTTCTCCTGGCAAGAGAGGTGCTGTAGGAATTAAGGCAGGTAGCTTTGGTGGTTCCTTCGCCTGGGGAAAGGATGGTACTTTATCTGGCCATCCCCAAGGTGTTGGAACATCTGTCCACAGATTATTTACCTCGACTCCTTTCTTAAGAAGTTCCATTTTCTTGTATAATCTCCAGAGAGTGTGAGTATCATTCCCATCAATATCCTCTTTACTTATCCCCTCTCTAAGGAGAGCCAGGAACATTTCTTTTCCACTAACCCTGTTTTCAGTATTTCCATCCTTTGGTGTCCCAGATGGTCTGAATGTTGATGAACCTGGTCTCGGGAAGCCTCCCTCACCAGGGTTCTTGGGTGCCCAGTCTCCCAATTCTCCAAATTGCATAATAGCTTCAGTAACCAATTGCAATGTTTTTCCAGTTTGATTTATAAGAAGTGTCATTATCACCTGCTTAGATGCTGGAGGGGCAGTTTTTATGATCTTATTTCTCATTTGAACTGTCACACGCATTTCCATCAGTCTATTCAGTTGTTGTGAATTCTGGATAGCCTGTCTGACCATCTCCTGTTTCAGTTTCCTTACTGCACCTGTCAGCCTGTACCATAGTTTGTCATTATCTGGCCAATCACTGACAGATGGATACCGCAATTTTAACCCTATCTGGACAAGCTCCAGGAGAGTGAGTGAACCTGGATTCCCATCTACTGCGGGAGGTCCGTTTAACAACATCTTCCATTCTCATCCTCTGAGATAGTAGCCAACTTTGGTGAGTCTATGGCATCAAGATTAATGCCTCCTGTCACTGTTTCAGCTAGTCTGACAACCCACTTATCCAGCGGTTCCTTTGACCTCTGTCTGAAGGTTGAAAGAATATCAGCCATCTCTTGCTGTCCATAGAGGTCCTGCTAACTTCCCCCAGGTCAGTGTACTCCAACTGTCTTCTGACCACAGACAAAGCATTTACCCCTTCACACTCCTCATCTGAGCTCCAGATGTTGCCATCCCAAGTTTCAGGATCCCAATCTGGTCCTACTTGTGCTAAACACTCCTGCATTTTCCTCTTGCTAATTTTACGAGTTCCAACCTTTCCCTTGGCCCTTAGTTACGATTTTTGCAACAACATTTCATACAAATGCTTTTCTTTTTCTATTGGACATTTATTCTTGTGTGCCTGTCTATATGCAGTAAGTATTACCCAACCTCTTTTCTGCCACTTATCTTTTGGAATCTCTTTCAGACAAGCAAGAAGGTTAGTAGGCATTTCACTTTTTTCACATTCATAGTCACATTTACCAGTTGAACAAGCCCATTCACTGGCAATCAATGCATATGGCTCATCTTCCCATCCAGGAATGATGGTGTCATCACCCTGTTTATTATTCTTTTTAAACATTGTGGAAATGTCCTACGATTTTTTGTTTTGTTTTAAAAAAAA